AAAAAAAAAAAAAAAAATTTCTCCACTTTTCCAAAATATTCCAAAAAACATATATATTTTTCAATATATTAATTTCAAATTTTATGGCTGTTTTCGCGTAGGAAAACTACGTGTTAATTATTTTTGCAAAAAAAAAAAAAAAATTATCTCCCGCATAAATTTTATCCGTAACAGATAATGTTATATTCGCTCATATTTCTTTAAATAGACATGAATCACGTGATGCTCGAAACACGAGATTAATTCCGCGAAATCCACCGATTACACGTAACAATATCGTTCCTACACCTGAAATCGTTCTTTTATTTTACAAAGCAATTTCGAAAATTACCGAAGAATTTTTTTTCTCTTTTCGAAAATTCGAGAGAGATAAAATTTATCAAGAAAAAAATATTGTAAATATTCCACACTATCCTAATAAGAAAATCCCCCACTTTTTTTAGGAAAACGAGAGCGTAGAATTATACCTGCGCATTTAATAAAAAAAAAAAAAAAAAAAATCCTGCTCTATTTCGAGGCAACTTTTATCTCTGGGAAGCTCTGGCTCGGTAACTGGGTCACTTTTTAACTACTTTATGGGTTATTGCGAGGATGTCGAGGGAAGTTTGACGAATCGACGTTGGAAATTCATTAATTTGCGCGTCAATCTTACGTTTCTCTCTTTCTCTCCCTTCTTCTCTCCCTTCTTCTCTCTCTCTCTCTCTCTCTCTTCGTTCGTTGTAAATTAGAGAAACTCGGCTATGCCCCTTTCGAAGATCGGTTTCGATCGGTTTTCGCGGATCGAAGACGGAAATTAACCTTCGAATGGAGCCCCCTTTCTGCCTAAATAGTTTTCATCGAAGCCTCGTCGCTCCCTATCTTCGCTTTCCGCGTCACTTCTCGTTCGATGCTGAATATGAGCGATCCAAATGAGGAGGGGGAGAGGGGGAGGGGGATGAAATCCGTCGAACGGGACGAAAACTCGAGTTCTCTGTTTAAGTTACGTACTCGTAATCGTGCCTTCCACTTGTTTCAATATAATATAAAGAAGGGGGAAAAAAGAAGAAGAGGAG